CAAAATAAATACATAAACTTTATTATTTTATTTTTATTTACATTTAAGTTAGTTAACATACAGTGTAGTCTTGGCTTCAAGAGTAGAACCCAGTGATTCATCTCTTACATGACACCCAGTGCTCATCCTTCCTTAAAGTGCCCTTCTTAATGCCCATCATCCATTTAACCCATCCTCCCCCAACCCCCTCAAAATAAATAAATTAAAAAAAAAAATCTTTAAAATACAGGCTAGTTGTTTTGGAGAAGGTCTCTCAATATGGACTTGTAGTCAGATTCCGATTATGCATTTTTGGCAGAAATGCTGTGCCACTTGATGCAAAATGTCAGAATACATGCATAAGATATCTCTTTGTCTAAATATGCAGTGTTACCTTTCATTGCTGGATTAAGGTGATCGTTGTACTGGCAATTCCCAAATATCTTTCAGTCCTTTCCTCTAAACTCTATGCCAGTATCTTCCAGGACTGCTCTACCCACCTCCTAAGTGACTTGCTTTCTCCATTGCCTCCCTTAATCTATTCTCTGCTCATCAGTCAGAGGGATCCTTAAAAAAAAAAAAAAAAAAAAAAAAAAAAAAAAAAAAATTAAGATTATATCACTTCGTTGTTAAAACACTTCAGTGGCTTGGCTTTCTATAGTATTTAAAATAAAACCTAAACTCCTTACTCTAGCCTACAAGGTCCCGCATCGTATGCGCCTATATTCAAACACACCTGTGCCAACCCTCCTTTCCCATCTTCATTGTGTTTCAGCTGCGCTGGTCTTAACAGGCCAAGTTCTCTCCTGGTCTATGAGTTTTGCACATAGTGACTCCCTGCCAGGGATGCTCTTCCCTCTGTTCCCACTCATTGCATGGCAGTGCCAACTCATCTCTTGTATTTCTTTCTAGATAGTTCTTCTGAGAGACTAAACCTATCACATAAAAAGACAGGTTAGCGCCCTTCCTCTTTTTCTAGCTCAATTTTATGTTTTCCTCAGAACCATTATCACAATTGCAATTGTTGACTTATTTTTCTGTCCATGTAGGTTGTAGTTTTGCAGCAGGTGCGATAAGTTCCATGAGAACAGGACTTTGGCCATTTTTTTCTTTGTACAGTAGGCTCAGTAAATGGGTAGTGAATGAATTAGTCTTTAGGCCTTGGTAATTTGCTTTATAATTTACAAAGCAAAAGGCATGAGTAAGAAAGTTCATAGCACATTTTTTGTTAGTAGCCCCAAACTGGAAACTATTGAAAGGTCATAAATAAGAGAATGGATCAAAGTTGCTAGCAATGGGCAGCAACTACAAGAACAATATGGATGAATTTACATATGACACCAAGTGAAATAAGATGGATACAAAGAGCGTATGGTATATGATTTAATTTATATAAAATTCAAAATAGTAAACAGGCAATCTATTGTTGTCGGAAGTAATGATCATGTTTACCCTTGGTGCGGGCAGTAGTGACTGGGGATGGGGTGGGGAAGAGAGGCTTCTGAGCTGTGGGTGATGTTTCTTCATCTGGGTGTTGGTTACACCAGTGTGTTCAGCTTGTGAAAACTCAAATCTTATGACTTGTGCGTTTATTTTCCCCAAATGTATGTTCCCTGGCTCTACAACTAGAGAATCTGATTTGTGGGCCTAGCGAGGGGTAAGAACCTGCATTTAAAAACAAGCTCCCCAACTGGTGCACTGAAACACGCCTGGAGAAACACTTTAGTTTTCTCTACAATTACTGAATTATTTTCCTAATTTCATTATCTGATTATGTCATTCCTGTTTAAAGTGCTTCCAATGTTTCTTTTTATCCCCTATTCTGCAGGATGAAGTCCAAACTCCCTAGCCTGGCATTCACGGCCTCCCACAATCTCACCCCAACCCCTTCCTAGCTTCTTCCCTCTGGCAATTCTGCGTCCGTCACCCCAAATCCCGTTGTAGCTACAAGTCTGGCGGCCATTCATGCAGCTGTGCCCCCTCTTCCTGGAATAGGATCCCCACTCTCCCTTAAGAACGACAGCATGTCCTTAAAGAAGCATCTCAATGAGTAGCGAAAGGGTTAACAGTAGGCAGGGATACAAAGGTACCCTCCAGAGGTTGATTGCAGCGGACGTCCTACTCCTTGAGTCCACCGTGCCCCCAGCCCCTGGCTGCAGATGCGAGTGGGAGGCTATAACTGCGGACGGGTTTTGGGGGGGGGGGGGGGGGGGGGGAGGGAAGATAAACGATTCCAGACCTGCCCATGCTAGGTGCCATGAATAGAGTTTCACAGGCTTTTATCCAGTTCCTGATAAGGTCCCAATAAAAAGTCAGAGACAAAAGTCCTTGGCGGCAACCCAGCTGGGACCCCTCTCCCTCTCAAGAGCTTGGTACTTTTGTTCAATAAATTCTATCGCTTTGCTCAACTCTCTGCTGTCCGGGAGATTCTTTCTTCTACTCTGTGAGACAAGGACCAGGGTCTCTCTCACCCACCTGTAACGTCAAGATCCCTTCCCAAGCAACCCCAAGGCGGTTTTCAGATTTCTTCGAAGCTCCATTAGAATGCATAGGCAACTCTCCAAGCAAACTTTGTGTACCTCGCCGGGTCACAAGCGTCCTAGGAGGAGGAAGGAGATCTTAATAACAGCCGAGACTTCAGAAACCAAATTACCAAATCAAACACACGGGCGGGGTGGCTGGCCACGCCCCTTCCGGGACACCTAACAGGTTCGTCCAATCACCGGGAGGAAGGGCAACTCCTGGACCACGCCAGGGATGCGCTCAGTAGTTCCTTTGGCTCCTCCCGGCGGGGCCACGCCCCCGCCGTACGCCGTCTGGCCCGTCCAATCACCGAGAGGAAGGGCGCACAGCAGCCCCCACCGGTAACCCACGTGGCAGTCCGCGGGCACACTTAGCTGGTGTTTCGCGTGGGATGTGTGGGAAGCTATGTCCGCTTCAAGCTGCGCCTTGCGCTTGCTTGTGGGAAGAGGTCAATGTGAGGGGCAGGGCAGGCGCCCTTCGGGTGCCTGTCAGGGGAGCACCGAGCATGGGAGTAGCGCTTGGTCCCAGCTTCGGCTGGGGGACGCGGGGGACGGCAGCAGCACGCCGACTTCCCCTTAGAGTCCCTGCGGGTGTCGGCACGGCCAGCTGTCCACCTGTAACCAGCTGCTCCCCAGAGTGCCTGTCAGCTTCAGCTGAGTAGGTGTGTCTCGTTTGTTTCTTTCAGTCACGGGGGATGGAAGCGTCAGTTTAGCCAAGTTTGTCGATGTCCCCAAAGAGAAATCTAAGCCTGTTCAAGATGTGAACCAAAAGCTACCCAGAACCGGGTAACCTTTCCGAGATGTGAACCGATCCCAGTTACGACCAAACCGGCACGGTAGGCAGGCATAATATATTTAGGAGTGAAAAAAAAAAAAAAGCGCACGTTACAACTGTTATCAAAATTTCCATGTTAAGATCCCCGAAGCTGAGCAAGACAGTGTCTCAGCCCAATCAACCAAAACCCACCGGGAATAAACCTGTAGTCCTACAAAATCAGGTATGTTGATTCATAGTAATGAGGGAGACTGCACACCACAAACATCAGGGGGCATTTAA